CGACGGAGGGGAACGGTACGACGTGCAGCTGCTGGGCGGACACCGGGTGTAGATGGCTCAGCAGGCCGGTGGAGCACGGATGTTAAGTGTCTCAGGTACCAAGTGGATGTCGGTTGTTGTTGCCCCGGCAGGTCGACGGAGCTATGGAGGTCAGCGCGCCTCAGACTCGACATTTTGACGGAGAGCGTAGCATAGGCTGCAGAGACGAAGAATGTGGCACGGCAAACATGAACCACCGCAAGAACGACTGCTCTAAAGGGGGGACGAGTGTGGTGTGCGCTACTTATATTGACATAAGTAGTATATGATGTTAGTCGTGAACAGAAGGTCTGGCAGCATAGAGACAAGAGGATCGAACAGCAAAGAATGGAAACAGGATGCAATTTGTATGGAAATGCAAGAACACTGAAGTCTGAGTCATTTCTAGACAACTGATAGACATTTTGCAAATTAAGCATTTACTTTATGATTGTTAGATTTTATTAACAAGTCATGTAATTTGTGTTAAATACATTCGGCTGTCCGCACCTGTGTTCTCCACTACAATAGATTTACATTTAATTATTCTATGAAAATTAAGTCATATTTAAGACGTGATCATTCTAAATCTTTATGAGATTAGGTTGTGTTTATATATTACTAGGAGTTATTTTTTATGGCATATTAATATCTCCGAAGAAATCGATAATGAAGAAACAGTAGACAGGTATTTCATTTCAAATTAAGACATTATTAGTGCTAACTCAATATTCCAACTATATTGATGAGTATAGTACTAATCCCTTAGTGAGTCACAAATGCATTCAAAATGGTAGTAACATGAAATCTGATAATCTTTCCACGAAGACAATATATTTATTTCTTCAATCAAATTATATTGAGTTAGTGACAAATATAAAGTATCCTTTACTTGTATGAATACTGTAATTGCCCAAGGTTAACTTTATTAATTAAGTTTTATAGTTTCAATGAAAATGTCTATTTAAATACGGCTGCTGTGCTCAAGATCATATCATACAAATCATCCTCATATGTATTTTAAAGTTTATTTATATTATCGCTCACATATGTCTTTTTTTTTCAAAGATTGATGCGAGAACTTACAAAATCATAAAAATCTTGAATAGTGGGATAAGAAGACGAAGATTATTAGAACTATGCAACATGTTTACAAAATACATTTCAAATAATCTGATCATATATATATTTGTTAAGAAGACTAATATATGCAAAAATAAATAAAATTAGTTGACCCAATAAAAGTAGATGATAAACATCTATCATCCTCTATTACTAAATACATAATTGAAATAGGTCATGGGGTTGTTCATGACTCGGCTTTTGTGTTTGTATACAAAGTATTCAACGGCACAACATAATAAGGTTGATCAGAGCCTTGACTATACGAAGATTTAAACTCTCTTTATGCATTCAAAACAGTTTTTTTCTCACCCTTAACCTATCCTAGTAATATTGTTTGATTATAAAGAGTGGTAAGTTTTGCATCATTCTCTCTAGTAACCTTATTCTCTCTTACCTTCAATCCATCTAGTTGACCTTGTCATTTTTTATACATAGATGTTCTTAACAAGTATATACTTGATCAGATTATTTGAAATGTATTGCGCCAATATATCACATAGTTCTGATTATCTTCATCCAAATTTATCAAAACGACTAATTGTTTAAAATAATCTTGATTTAAATATCATTTTATAGCAAAATCGTTTACAAATAGTTTGACAAAAATTAGGCGCCGAGTATAGAAAAGTCATTAGATGTGGAAAATATATTTGAAATAATCTCAGCGATTGAAATCTAAGTAATTCCAACGTTTCGTCCAACAAACTTGTCTGGACTTCTTCGGGTTAGTTTTTACAAATTTGTAACTTGATAGGATGTCAGTCAGTAAAAGTATTTTCTCAAATTTACATTATTAGAATATTGAAAAATCCACTAGTGAAGAGAGGGAATAAAGCGATTTCCATATTCTAAAAATTTTAACCACACCAGCATTTAGACTCAAAAAAATTGTTGAATCAATTGGTTTTATCTTCATACTTGTGAAATGGATCAGTTTAATTTCTTTAAAAGTAATACATTGGATAGTTACAATTTAACTAAGTTGTCACGCCCTAATTGAGATAAATTATTGTCATTGTCATTATTATTGGTATTACTAATTTCTTTTTTGAATAATTGATGTAAATGATAATTAGTAGATATGTTATGTGTACGGTAAAAGTAAACACTAAATAAGCTATATTTGTTGATTCCATATAACTTGTTTAGTTTTTTAGTACACTTTTCTTGGTTCATGAAATTCATAAAATGAGACTTAAGTATGTTAATGCAAATTTCCCAAATTTTAATTACAAATATATATATATATATATATATATATATATATATATATATATATATATATATATATTGCGAAATAGAAGAAACGTTTTAAAAATTACGAAACAACATAAGTTAGACGTCCACTGAAGGCCTAAAAGTACTGGACGACAGTTTCATCGTTGCCAGAGACTCCTCGATACTGTGCATACATGACCCGTCGGCTGATATTCGGATACAGGGTCTTCAATCGTGCTCTCTACCACCAGACCATCAGACGACTGGGCTGTAATCCACTGCTGCCATCTAGTGCACCCACCTTTTCAAAAGTTGTCTAACTTAGATCATTCTGTGATCCCAAGAACATTTAATAATCTCCACATCCCATACTGATAAAGAATTAGAAGTAAAATAATTCAAGCTGACCGCAGTCAAATAGATGATGATACAATGGCATGAAATAAAGTCAACTTGAGATAAGAGAAAATAAATCATAAAATAGAAAAATGTCCGCAGAAGGATAGAAAAGATTGTATCATAAATTGATTCGAGACTCTTATTATCAAAGGAGGTTATTTAAGAAAACTGCAAATCCCCAAATAGCTAATAATTTATTATATATGCATTATAAGAAATCACATTAACTTTTATTTTGTGCATGAATTATTATTGTTTTGTATTTAAATATCTTTTGGTAAGAATAAAGCATAATGAATAGAAAGAAACGATGTTTCTTTAATAGGGGCGTATAAACATATACCTATTTACGCATACTACTCACTGGTACAAATATAATTTGAAGAAAAAACAATAAAAGAATCTACTGCATGAGTTATCAAGTTTTTATATTTATACTGATATCTTAATGTTGAAAATAATCAGAATTTTTGAAGAAATAAGATTGCTACTACGGTAGGGGGATTTCTGGAAACTAGCATTTTTATAGTTTAATAACGAACTGATTGTGACCAGACCATTATTGGAAACTTGAAAGCACTGAACAGCTAGTTCGTTCGAGTATAAGACTCCTTAACAATGTACACGTATAATCTCACCACGGGAAATCGAACGTAGATATTTGGTCTTGCGCGCTAACGCCTAAACTCCAAACAATTTAATCGATACCCAGTGCCTACGTGTCTCGAACAAACTCACGAAATCGCTCAACGAGATTGCGGACGAGCACCGTTAATAAATCCCGGACTCGAACGACACGAGCGTCCAGTGCTTCTAGGTATTTAATGCTAGTCTAACTAAAATCAGTTCATGATTTATACTAAGAAAAGTAGATTTGTATGAAAAGCATCAATACAAGCAGAAAATGATTATGATATTTCATTAAACTTTAACGCCACTACATAAGTATAATTTCCAATATCACTCATTACTTAACTGTTTACTAGATCTTATCATTAGAATTATAATAACGACTGTTCTTAAACGACCAAGTACAATCATTTATGGTGACATTATAAGAAATAGCTTATATTATCTAAATGCATTATATTTAATTTACAACATTTTAGTAGTATAACAAATAAGATGAAAGAAATAATCTTAGATGAAATGTTAACAAGGCAACGTAAAATAACGTAGGACAGTTTTGTAAAGATTTTGTTTGTTTCAAAGTTAAATCTAATTGGGAATCAATAATAGAAGAGAAAATTGAACAAATGTTTCATTTTCAATTCAGAATTCTTCAACACTATTTACCAATATAATGAGTGAACCAATGACTGTCAAATTTCCCAGCTGATAGCTAAGTTAGGATTTAATAATTTATACCATTATAATTATTAAGGTTATTCTTCAGCTGATGCTAACACTTGGAAATTATTCTAGGTAAGTTCAGGATATGTTTAGTGGTATTTTCATGACAAGAATTAACGGTAATATTTTAGTGAATTATAAGCAGAAATGGATAGAGGCCAGCAGTGGAATTCAGCACGTATGTTTCTTCCTATTTGAGACTCATTAGCTGGACGTACATGAATATCAGAGTTGATATTCACTCCCAGACTCAAACCCAGTACTGTTCATTTCAAACGTCATCGAGTTATCTACTTAACTACTGAGTACTGATAGCCACCAGTTTGTGTAATGATGTGCAGTTAAATACATTTTTATATTGGTTATTTGAATCTTCCCATTGATGTTCAACAATGCAGACTGCCGCGATATTGTCTTACGTCACAGGATTCACATATGCCAATAAGAGACTGACCAATTGCAGTGTTAAACATCAATGGAAAGATTCAAATAGCTAATACAAAAATGAATTTTACTGAACTATTTGTATTCATACAAAACATTTGTATACTCATAAAAATGAAGCTGAATATCATGGTAATTTCTGCCGCGTTGTAACTTGTACTCATCTTATATTTCATGAGATTATTATGAGTTGGGTTTGAAAAGTATATAAATCATGGTATTCGTTATATCAACAACTAATTTAGATGAATCTGGGTAATGAAAGTAAACGAGTAACCTCATTACATTGTATATATATATCTTGAAATCTCTCTAATTTATTTGGTAAAACTACTTTCTTAGAAAATTACAACAAATCAATATTCATCAACTTTAAGTTGATAGAAAACAATTAAATCGTTATTATAATTCCATTTAAATAATAAAAACACTAAAACTCATACCATTCGGTGTATAGAAAGCAATGATATTTGAAGATGGTGATCGGCCATGTTGATTTCTTGAAGTGATTTTCACAAAATATAGTGTACTTGGTTTTAACCTTAGTAAACCTGCTTCTGTACTTCCACCATTGACTGATCTTTCTGTCCATTTTCTTGTAGATTGTTTCATATTTGTAGTAAGATATAGGGCAGATGCAAGTATTCTTCCATTTGGATAAGTTGGTGGATCCCATTTAATAAACATTGTGACTAGGAAATGTGAACTAGGCTTATTATTATCATTACTATTATCATTGTTTTGATCATGTATGATATCATTATTCAGTGCATCTGAGGAAGTTTGTATAGTTGAGAAATCTAACAATTGAAGTTTTGTATGCAATTTGTTAGTTAACCTTATTTGGATAGTCGAATATTTGTCGGTGCATCCTTTGGACCTTGAAAATTAATTAAGAATAAACAACTATTTAACGAATGAATGTTGGCAAAAGAAGTTTCTTTCTTAATTTGTGTTATTCTACTAATATTGCAACATCTACCAGGTTTCATGTAACTTGGACATTAAAGGCAAATACAAAATTCAATTTATCGACCATCGGATGTATGATATATTAATTCACTTAATGTTCAACACTTTTGAAAAGGACTGAATAGTTCAACCATTCACTACTGATGTGGAATTTTAAAAACTATTTGTCTTAGCCGAAGTTGCATTCCTTGAATTGATTGACTTGTTCACCAGCCTTTCATTATCGTTCTCACAAGCATCGTCAGCACGAATTAAGATAAAATGGTAAACGATCAGTTGTTCTTTAAGAGTAACACCCAATCCGTTGATTATTGCTAATAGCTATATTAAACTAAGAGTGATTTCTCAATGGGTTTATTTTGTTTATTTAATGATAGCTATTTAATCATTTTCTGAATCTCTGTTCTGATTGCCTTCTTTTCATTACCTGTTCACTGAATTTATACTTGCCTATTAACTTCTTTTTAAGTGGTTAACAATTCGGTGCAATGAAATGTTCTAGTCAAATCATGCAGTACTGAAAATCTCTGAGCTCAAGTCTATCCTATCATCTTACAACCATTACTTCAACGAATTGATTGAATAAGGCTATTCCTTCAGAATATGACGAGCAAGTGATAAGCTGACACATCGTTTTTTTTAATTTTACTTAAATTCCAACTCAAAATGATATAAGTAAATACTAATAGTAATTTATTGATGACTTGGGATTAATTGATTATCACCATTAAATTTCATATTGATAGATAATGCTAAGAAAATGAGTGGAGGGATTTTTGTAAATTGTGACGTTTTCACAGTTTAAATCTTATCTAGACCATCTTTGAAAACCTGAAAGGACTGAGTGGCTCTGTTGTCTGAGCCTCAGACTCAATTCTCCTGTTCGAAGTTGTGGATTCTGAGGAGTCCCACACACTTGGATGAAAAGGCTGAATAGTGCTTCCGTGTTTTCAATGACGGACTAATTAATATTTTTTCATTGTTTAAAAAATGCTTATCAAAGAGAGCTAGTAATAAGTTTTTTAAAAGACTGAATGAATTTGAAATGTTAGAAGTACAACTATTCAGGATACTTGTGGTAAATAGAACATCTACTGTTAACATTTTGTGGACTTCACTCTAATTAAGTTCTGGTTAACGCATTAGCAATTCTTACCACTTTTGTACACAATGAATAATTGTATGTATTTCTTTCTCAAAAAAACAAACATTTCAAACAATTGTAAAGTAAGATTATTAATTGTGATGAACATTCGACACTATACCACTCAAGATTCATAATATATGTAATCAGCTTCATAAGAACTAAATTCATTCAACTGATACAAAATGTTTCTTATAGCATTTGTCATATTTTCAACAATCATAATACTTATAAGTTTCATATCATGTCATAACAATATAAAGTTGTTAGATTACTCCGACAATTAACTTCAGATTGCATAATTTATTTGCTTTTCATTAGTCTTAATAGATAATTAGTCATTACCAAATTCAGTATTAATAAAGGAACGATTATAATACTAGAAACTTTTATTGTAAATACATCATTGTATATATATATATATATATATATATATATATATATATATATATATATACATGGATAAATATTAGTTTGATGTTTTCCATCTTACCGCCTAAATAATTATTCTATAAATGACTAAAGGTCAGTCTAGGTCATATACATTGTCATGAACCATTATAAAGAAGAGATATATTTTTATATGGATAATCACTATTTGCATAATTTTAGGACAATAAAAACATAATCATCAACAAGATGACACTAGTTAGATATGTATTCCCACACCCTGGTTGATTTCCTGAGATTGTAGTTAAGATCGTGACACGTTTGAATAAGATAAATATCTTTCTGTTAGGGAGTTTCACTGAATTCCGTACATGACTTATTTAGATATTAATAATTTACTACAAACGGCATAAAAGCCTAATAAATTAACATCTGAATAATACTTTTTAATAGTTTTGGAACTACCTAATCCACATAAACATCTTAGTCTCTAGGATTCACAAGCTGTATTTATTTCAAAGAAGGATGTTGTTGTGTTCTTGTAGAAATTATTCACATCAAAATTCGTAGGTTAGTTTGGATATCTAAATGAATTTAACCCATTTAAATTATCCATTTTCCAACTCAAGTAATTCTGATAGCATTTAAACCTGACATTAAAAAGCTGGCGCAAAATAATTCTTGTTCAAAATGTCGTATGATATCGACAATTTTCTTCTAAACTATTTTCAGAAAAAAACACTAATCAGAATCCAATCGAAAAATGACGTCATGACGAGAATTTTCCCTTGTAATTTATAAAAAAAAACAAATAACAAAAATCTATGAAGTTTTTTATAAACAAATAAGAACTGTCGTCTAAATTTGATGGAATAGTTTCATAGTATTCGGGCTCCGAGTTGATATGAGAGATTAAAGAGGAAGAATGTAGTTGTAAAATCTCAGTGAATGGATTTGAAGTAAATCCAACGTTTCACCTGATAATCTGGTTCAAGCTTTTTCAAGGAAATATAATCAAAACATCAAAATTATCCCGTGAGGTGGGATCGTGAATACGCACGGCTGAGGAGTCCCACAATAGGAGGAAACAGGCGTCCAGTACTTTCAGGTTTTCCATAGTGGTCTAGCTTTAACTGACTCATGATCTTAACCATTGAAATTAGTATAGATTAATTGCCTTCATTAATTGGGCAAAAGTAAATAGACTCTTTTATTATTTTAATTAGAAATTTGGTGTTAAAGTATAATTGATAATCTGTTGCAAACGTTTAACTTTTATACCTGGTAAATTTTTTTTGCATTTACTTTCAACATATTTTCAGCATGAAAATTGCCTAATCCAAGCAAAGAATTCGGAGAATTTAAAAATATAATGACGAATCAGTGATTTGATAAAATGATTGAGATGGAAGGGTTTGTGATTTTGTTAACACGATCAATCACTGAATCCCAAGTAAATCAACTTGACAAAAGGGAATGATCGGCTTATTAAACGAATCAATTTTGAGGGGAATAAAGCTACACTTTATATTCAAAAAACTTGTGGTGATTGAAAAACAAACATGATATTTCGGTTTTCATTACATATTAAAATAGAGCATACATTAGTTAGATGATGAATATCAATTCAAATGGTTACTTACAATTAAAGGCTGAAATTTCGATAATCATTATCAATCTATAAGAAATTACGATGTTGATAAAACTGAGTTATCGGAATAACCCAAGGCACCAGAAAAGTCTCATTTTAATATGTAACAATTTCTTTTAGTAAAGAAATATCCTATAAAGTTTTGACGCTTCAAGTACGGACGTACCAGTGTGACATTTATTGGATCCTCGGAAGCTAACAGTTACTAGTATGTCACTCACGATAACAGAAGCTTTGAGCATTGTGTTGTTAGTGAATCTTATTGATAATAATATGAGGTAGAACGAAGAGAATCTAGTCATTTCGCCGAGTTTTTCACAGATGCACTTGTTTATAGTAAAATTTTGAATACTTCAATATGTTTAAATGGTTCACCTTAATTAAAGTGGAGTACAACTAATGTGTAAAATGATCAGAATTCATACTTGTTATTTATTCGAAATAATGTATCATGATCAGAAGTATTTAAGTGACTCAGTACTGTAACATGTTCACCACATTATTCTTAGGTTTTATCTATTGTAAAATATTAATTACACACTTCTGATAAATCTCAAACATGGTTTGGTTAGTATAGATCGTTAGGTTTAGTGACTGAATATCAAGATGTTTTTGAGAAACTAAACTTGTAATTACATAAAACCAATGTTAATCAATACAAATTAAATGTAAACATAATGATTTGAAATTCGCCCTGATACACTTACTGAAATGGTTATTTACTTTAAGAGGAAATAGACTTGAACCATTTGTCAATGAATATTTGATCGACACAGCCCTTTCAACATTATGAATCAGAATGTTGTCTTGGTTTATTTTGCAACAGTTATGTTTAAACTATTTGACAGGGGATCCGTTAGCAGACGAAGCAATTTGAAGAACATGGTTCTTATGTTCATGGTTAAACTAAGTACGTTTAAGCGTTAGTGCACCCAGAAACTCACTTAATCTGAATGATCGTTAAAACTCATAAATACATTACTAGTTTTCTTTTCTGTCACTCTGCGCATTTGAGTATTTTATCCAAAAATGTTTTGAAAATAACAAATGAATAAGACACTGTATGGAAAACTGGTTGATCATTGGCTTACTTTTACCAAAGTTTCAAATCCTTGAACCATACTCCAGAAATATGTTTTCACTGTTCTAACATTATCGTTTGGATCATTTTCTTCAAATATCACTTCATTATGTAACACTCGAACACCAAATTCATACTGCGTAGCAGGTTCCAAATCGCGAAGAATAATGTCAAAGTGTTCGTCATGAATTTGGTTTGATGTTAAGGTCATATTGATTAATTTTAATTCATGTTTTTTTTCGTCAACATTTTTTGTTGCGAATTGTTCAGTGATATAATTTGTAATTTCTATTTCATTTTCCTGTCCTTCTTCTTCTTCTTCTTGGTCTGTGTTTGCCTTCACTGAATAATACTTCACTTGAAATCCACTGATAGACATTTTAATAGATTGTGGAACACTTGGCATATCCCATCCAACACGTGCCCATGTAGAGCCAAGTTGCCGAACTACTAAATTTACAGGGATAAGTAAACCTTGACTTGTCGGTTTTGTTGCTTAAAAGAAAAAAAGTTGGAATTTCCAGAAAATAATATAATCAAGGGAAACATTTGTATGTATGCCGTTTCATACTATGGAACAAAGTCCTGTATTTAGATCGATAACCAAATAATTCAGTAGTCTGAACAGACTTGACTTCATTTTTAAAATCACACGAAAATACCGTGAATCCGTGCTGATAACATAGTACAATCCACCTAAGTAATAAACCTTTGAAAAAGAACTCTTTTCGTTACGTTCGATTGAGCTTAGCTATAGCAGTACCAACTCCACAGATTCAAGACAATATTTCTAGATACAATTAGTTGGAAGTGCTACAGGAGGCGACCCCAAATGTCTCACCCATCGACTTATAAACAAATAACTGGTATACATCAATCTATATGTTCGAATGCTTTCTGAGATATGAGTAACTGCAGTAACAACAGAAGTCACTTAGCCCTTTAATTCTATTGTGTAGTCAGAACGCGTTAAGTGTTGTGTTTGATGCTACCATGGTGATTTACTAGTAACTTCTATTTATCTCTATTTGTTTATCTCCTTCGATGAATATGATCTCAGCCTTCCCATTACCAACACATTTGAGCTTACTTTAAGTGCAATTAGCCAAATTATTCTTTTATCTTAATTAAAAATTAATATTTTATCTATTTTCGAACATAATGCTCTTACTGAATTGATCTATTGCTGTCTTGCATTAATGTCATGATTTCTGACAATGTTTATTTTTTCATGTGATGATTTATTATCTTTATCAGTTTGTCTACTACACCGTAAACATTTCGAATATATTCTATTTAGTTGTTTATTCTATAATTACTTTTTTGTTAGTTTGAGTTCTATGACGTTCTAGGATTTTTATCGTTTGTACATTATGATCTGGTCTTATTTAGAATATCCTTAAAATTCCGGAGGCAGTAGATAGCTGTTTTGTCTCAGTATGAAACTCTTCAGAAGTGTGATTTTCCGACTCCACATCCGTAAATCGAACCCAAGACTTGAGATGAGAACCTTAACTTCTGGTAGAATCTTGAAACTGACGAAGTTCATCACTTTTCAGACAGTGTTGTTCGATAGCACTAAATGTTCCATCGACGGTGATGCGAATTGCCTGGAATAATAAATTTTGACCAATGAGGCTAAATTCAGTGATTTGAGAGTGAATGGTAGCTGCAAGTTATAAATATCCTGGGTTTGATAATTGATGGAAGCGAACAAGTCTAATCCTAAAGATCTAACTGACAGAAATCAAAATACTTTATAGTTCTCACTTTAGTTATATCAGTGATAAGTAATTGATTGTAAACGAAGCACAATATAACAGAGGTTATTATCCAACACAACTGATATGTACTACACTTTATGAAAACATTAAATGGCTTACTACTGTTCTAACGATACTAACATATTACTATCTATACATACTATTTATACAGGGGATATTTTATTGTTTAAAACACCTGATTTAAAGAAAATTGAATCAAAGGTTTTGTACTAGACAACTGTCGCTATCTATAGCTTTTACATAAAAATATGTATAATTAAAACTCATTAAATAAACCTGCTACTAAGTTGTTTTAAATAAATTATAAATGTTACTCTGTTGTCGTTGAGTGAAGTTAATTATCATATATTACCTAGATGATAGTGATCTGTTCTTTTTTAAATACAGTTTAGTACCAACCATGATATCTGAAACCCTTAAGTTCACTAAATCAAGCTTGCAAACAGACTGTACCTAAATTAGGGGATTTTAATAGACATTACATCGCACATTACATTGAATATCATGGGAATCTACCTGATGAAGAGTCTTGTGTCATTACAACAGTGTAGGCAGCGGGACCATCTCCACCTTCTGTAACAGATATAACTCGAATGTAATAAATCGTTCCAGGTCCTGTGAAAAAAGGTAGACAGAATCAATAAATCTAAAACTGCATTAAGATTTTATTAATAATTTTCAACTAATAACCATTACGAGGTTAACTATAAACTTATTCGAATTGAATGACTTGGGCAAACTCATAGCAAATTGAATACATTCTTTCCCGAGATATATTGAATATGATACACATTCTTGTTAACTTATTAGCTTTATTCAATATGATATTTTTGGCACAATATAGGATTCTCAACACCAAGTATTCAGCAAGTTTCCTTTCCTTATTTCTTGATCGATCTTGTCGATAAATATTAAGTGATCGCCTATTGGATATTAGCAGTTCAGGAATCGACATCGAAATAATGTTCTTTTTTTTCAGTACATATTACCAGCCACCACGATGTCGCTGATCGTACATTTATTTAACTTGTACAGTGAAATGTCGTAAACTTTTCAATAAATGCACCTGAATAGGTTATGCGGTTAATAGATGTAATAATGTATTTAAAAAAATAAGAAAACAGATAACTTGTTGAAATATCTTGATGGCAGGAAGAGGTAGCCTAGATACTCATGCAGGTTGCCTATAATGAAAAAGTTATTTATAGTGTACACATAATAATACATTTCTGTTTCTAAACATGGATTATTATGGTACGTTGTTAACTTGTTCTTTTATAAGTATAACGGTGTTTTCATAAAATCAAATAATTCTTGTTTAGATGACAATGATTAAAAATTGTGGTGGATAGTGTATTAATATTTCTATACACTAACTTAAATATTGAAATTTCTTTATTTTGCTTAGAAATTTTGATATCAGTGGATAAGAATGATCAAAAAATAATTATATCTCTGAAGGACAATCTGAATACTATTAGTTAGATTTATATGCTTTCAATGAAAAGAAAAACAAGAGATGTATTTTATGAGCAAAACATTTGTAACATTAACCCCCCTTTTTGTTTATTTATTTATTTATTACGTCATTCATTATTCCAACTCATTCATAACTGACCGATTTCAATTCATATCTTTCTTCCTTACTAGTTATCTACTTTCAGTTACTTCATTACATAATCATCTAATGTGTTTTTTTAATTCCATGAGTTCTAATCACTATTTCAATGTTCTGGAACTTTCCCTCCCAAACTTTACTTATCCGAAACAAAAATTTTCATGACCTCATTAACTCTATCGGAATCTTCACTACATTATGATACACACGTATTGATCCTTAATCACACTCTTATGTATAAATATGTCATTATCTGTAATAACGTTGAGTTCCAAATATTTTAGATTGTGAGCAGCTAATGAGAACCTAACGAAATAAAATGAATTCACATTATTCTGCACCAATCTTTGTTATTGCTCTCTTTAATGCTACATTTGGATTGGAAGCCAGAGTAATAATGAATTTGTCAATCTTAATTATCAGTTTTGAAGGGAACTATAAAATAAATATTAAATTGTTGGTGAGTAAATCCTAATACATAGATATTATAGAAGTGTAATCATTGTGAATGACTAATATATTATGCTTGTTTGCTGGATCTAAAGAAAACTGATTTGTAGGTTATATCTGCCACAGACTGATTTCATGTGAAGAACGACTGAAAATTAAAGATCATAGTTTGAGACTCACAAGTAGCTGAGACTAATTACCGTAACAAAGGTAAAATCCCAGAAAGTTCACGTCTCGCGATGAGCGTTAGTTGAATAATGTCAATTTCAATCAGCTTACAATTTAGTATGATGGTCATCCAATGACATTGATGACTTATTTGAATGTCAACAAGTCTGAACACTGTAAGATATATAACTTACAGATTAAGCTTATCTCCATAAAACCCCTTCAACTGAAAAGGTTAAATCATTTCTAATGGTATGATACAATTTGGTTTGCATAATCACATGACTCAGAAATTTCAGTTTGAATTCCAACCATATGGCTTTTCCGTGATAATAAAGACGTATCTTTTGAACAGATAGAAGGAAAGTTACTACTGTTTTTTTTGTCAATTAATTCAGTCGTTTAATAATTGTTTATGAATTTACGAATATCCACTAAGTATGCTAATTCAGACTATGTTTTGTACAAAACGATAAGTCCTAATTTGGGGATAACTAAATAAAGATTCACATTTCCGCTTATTTTATCATCTGTTCTGCACATCCGGAACTGATTTCGTGAGAAAATTACCAGTTCAGTCATAAAACGTTTTTTAAACTAACAAGCAGTTTAATTAAACTTTGCCGACGATACTAATCTGTGATTATAACCTAGCAGCCAGTATGCTGATTCTATTAACTCAGCTTAACTAGACGATCGTGAAATATTTTGGTTTATCAGAAGAAAGGTCGGACATCGTATTTAACATTGAAAATAGCGCTGAAATCAGTGGCGTGTACGTAATAAAAATGCCGTTTAAAATTTCAATAAATTCAGTTGACCTTACTTATTTTATCAACCTCATCAAACAGAAGAATAAAATCTTCAGTGTTGTTCACTTACTTTCTATAGTTTAACAAATAAACCTAAAGATGTGTAATCATGCAAGATGATTGTAAGCCACCATAGCAATGCTATGGACTTGAAACTCGTACTAGTCGAGGTTTGTCAATAAACAGTTTATAAAATCTTGAGAAAAATGATACTATTTGAGGAATCTGAATCCACGTCACTCAGTATCATAATCAGAGGTGTAATCGCTGAGTAATTTAAGATGTAACTATTATCCTATCTTGAAATTTGGTTACTGACCTATCACTGAGTAGCAAATAGTCACATAATTATCACCAGTTCAAGTCTAACAATTAAGATCAATTGAATTAACTATTGTTTTTATGATAGATAATTTTCGGTTCATGACTATTTTCGACTGGTTTTAACCAATTGATATCAACACTTGGTACACTTGATGTCAATTCATATACATCTCTGATCAAAATACAACCTGATAAAAAACTTAACAATCTCCACGACCACTGAACTGTTAATTACCATGTGCTCACTGGTGACTAGCTTCGTGAGAAAATTCTCGGAGTTATAACGAGGAGCCGTGACCAGTTGAGCTAATCCGTGTCGGATAGAGACAGGTGTCTACCCCAGTATAATGGGAGATAGTCGAACAATTTCGTGGATCGGTTGAGGTTAGACATTAACACCACTGAATGCCGGCCCAGTGGTCCAGAAGGTTAAGCGTTCGCGCGCGAGACTGAAGTTCCTGGGTTCGAATCCCGCGAGCAGGATCGTACATGCTCCCACAACAAGACGGAACGGCCATGCAGTGCTTCCAGGTTCTCAATGATGGTCTAACATCAATCGGTTCATGATCTCAATCGAAAAAAGTAGAATTCAATCAGCATTAAGAACTAGACAAGAATCATATTTCATAATAATCTAACAAATCAATGTAAAAATCTTTTCTAAACTTTTTTTTTCCAGTTTACTTCTAAATCTTAAATAACAAATTAAAAATAGTATAAATTTATATTTAAAAAGAAAAATAAATAATTAACCCTTATAAAAAGATAAAATCATATAGAATCTAACGAAAATTTATTGAAGAGGAGAATTTTCTTTATTCATCTTGATTTATTTACCATTACTCTTTTTTTTTGTTTTTTTGTTTTTCTATGAATATACATCACGACATTATGATCCTTATTGGAATTCACACACGCAACTACATTTACAGATAAAATGAGGTGTAACCAATATTATATTTGATACTTTTAATTAAGATGTTTATTATTTTTTTTAAAGTTTATTTAATTTCTCTAATCAGTGTTTCATTAGTTATAATTAAATTATAATCGGTTTCATTGAAAAGTATCTACTATATAATGACAGAGTTGTTATTTTTTGTCTTCCGATCTCTGTTTTTCTTTATATTTAGAAAGTATAAATTAACCAAACTGAATTATTAGTAGTAGTGGTGGCAGCAGTAGTAATAGTGGTTGTAGTAGTAGTAACAGTAATAGTAGTAGTAGCAATAGTAATAGCAGTAGTAGTAGTGGTAGCAATAGTCGTAGTAGTAGTAATAGTAGTAGCAGTAATAGTAATGGTAGTAGTAGCAACAGTAGTAGTAGTAGTAGTATTAGTAGTAGTAGTAGTAGTAATGGCAGTAATAGTAATAGTAGTAGTAGTAATAGTAATAGTAGCAGTAGTGATGATAATAGTTCTTGCCTGAACTATTTAAAATATAAACACGACTTTCCTTAAATAGATAAATAGATAGATAGATAAATATATATTTATATGACTTATCAAAGTTGTTGAATATTCTTTAACATTAAATTTATATTCTTTTAATGCAATAAATACATGGAACGTTTTTGATGTTATCACTTATTCTTATTCACTGTTTACATATAATAAATAATCAGATATAGAAATGTAAACTAGTCATTGTGAACATCATTTCAATGTTTGTTTGTTTTTATTTTTACTTTTTTCATTCTGTGAAAGAATGTAGTTTTTTATTTCTAGATAAGCAAAATAGATTAATCTGTTCAGTCGAATAAGTTTCAAATTCTTTATGAAGAATAGATTTCCTGAAGAAATAGTCATATTTTGTTCTAGGTTAATTGAAAAGTTTATTGAAATCTCTCTGACATATCTGAATTGATTGGGTTTTTTTCTTTCTTTAAAAAAATGCAGATTGAATTAGTTGACATGTTGCTTAAACTAAATTTTGTACTTCTGTGATATGTCAATATATATATATTTCACTGTTAAACATTCTTGAAATGTAGACGGCGAGATTATAATTTATGGATGAACCAATTAGGTATAAGTGAACAGGTCTCGGATTTCGGAGCGAAATTCACCTATCCATTTGGTTAAATAGAGTTTTGGCATTATAGCTGATATCAGTTCGTGAAGAAAACCCTCAATCTAATTCCTAACGTTAAACATCAAATGTAAATCATAATTATAATTCCCCACACTGTTCTATAGCCCTCATTTGGTCGTAGTTATTAGGTGAAGATTCTCAAGGTCATTTTAGCTTCGCTCAAAAGTTCGTCCATAAATTATAGTCTCATTATGTGAACTACGAATGATCAAAGCATTTCAATATTTGGAGATTTTACTCTTATATCATGTAACGATTACTATTAGAATCTAAGATATAGTTGACAGGCTAGTTATTTTTATTCAGAGAATAATTTGTTATGTCTATAACATAAATGAAATGAGACTTAAAGCAATTAGTCCTTTGTTTATAAATTTTAGTACAGCGGTGAGAAGATGGAGTTGATCTGAAAATTATGATGTCTTTGATCTGTAACATCTGAACGCTCTGATCACATATTTACTTGTCAAGGCACTTCAATGTGAAAATCAGAAAAAAGCCTAATTCGATAAAGTTCAAATAAACAATGTAAATATTGAAGAGGAAAAAAAGTTAATGTAATATGAGGAAAATGAGAAATTATTGCATCATCCTATGACTTGAAATAGCTCAGAAATTACCAGTGCAGATCTAAGGTTACGACATTTTATATGTGTACACATAAAAGAACTTTAAAAATAACCAAAACTTCTTTTGAACTGGGAATTTCTCATTGGCAGTTCTTATACAGCGTTTGGAAAGCTGTGTTTATATTTATTCTATGGTGCGTTTCGAGCATCAACATGATCAGTTTTCGAAACCACTGCAGATTTGCAAACATAATCAACTGTCTAAACAAATAGAGAATCATAACCATTTCAATAATCTGTGTTAATAGTAATAATTTAACCATTTTAACCGGATACTGCTTGATCTCAGCCTTTCACTATGTATAACTGAGATAAAAGTTATTAGGATCATTTTATGAGTGTAGCATTTACATTTTAATGTGATATAAAACCATATTAATGATAATGAACTTACTTAAATTTTCAATTGTATACTGTGTTCGATCACCTCTTACACTATCCTCGGATGGACCGGGATGCATATCACCCCAACGTATGATGTGTTTTGTTCCTGGTGGTAGCAAACCAGTTATATCTTTCTGATGTTTCTCATTTTTGATTGGGACAGGGATTAAATGTCTTGGATTAATTAATGATGTATATTCATAGTCAACATCATCAAATAAATGTGTTTCACTATTCATATTAATTTGTCTTAAAGCAACTGACCATTTTAATTTTATTGATGTTTGAGTTGCTGTCGCCCGTAGATTATGGATCTGTTTATAAATATGTATGTACATGAAATTCATTATAAAATTACTTCTATATTCAAAGTATTCATATAGCTAAATAAATAAGCATCAATAAAAAACTGTAAAGTGTTCAAATAGTTGGAAATCAGGTGTATTACCACCACACTACAGATATTATAATTCTGTTCTGGACTTTTTATTTCACATAATGCTACTGATCAGTTATATTTGAGTTGTTATAAAAATACTAAGTATTAAATTCACTTAAACTGTCATTACTTTTAGTAAGTAGTATAATTTTATGTCTACACATTTCTCGGTAAAAATGAGGAAGCTGCTGACTTCTTTAATTTCAATTGCGTTAGTGGTTAATCTGGTCAAATGGTTAAAAATGATTCACATGAATTTATTGAAATATCTAGATTTGACGTAAATTAATCGCGAAAATTTAACTAATCCTAGAATTTATTTCAATTACTAGCATCAAGGGTCATAAGGATTAAAAGGTCATTGTAATGCATCCAGACACAGCAATTCATACAAGTTAATTCATACATGTACATCCCTTGGTCATTTGTATCGTATTTCATTGACATTTTTTATTACATCCAAACAACTTTCGGATCATTCACTTACAATTATTTAACGTCTGTCACTTGATACGCTACCTAATACTCTATATGGTTAATTACTGTTATATTTCCCCACTACTATAAGTTACCTGGACTAATTCCGGTTATTAGTATCTTCATTTAATCTTATCAGTAGTCTGATTCATGTAAACATTACAAGCAATTCAGTCGGATATTCATAAACATGACCAAGCATTTCACATCATTTCGTCGATTAATATACGTAACTTGAAGATAGTATAGATGTACAATCTGATCATGTATAGTCATTAATGAAATAATTCACTACAACATTGACATGTTACTTAGTGGTATTTTCTGTTAAAGCAAAATAAACAAACTCTTTACAATCAGAAGCTCAGATATTCTCATCATAATCCATTTAGGTTTCACAAAGCACGAATGGTGTCTGGTTCTCCTGAAAACCAATGTAAATTACCCTATCATATTTCTCAAAAATGTACTACAGTCAAAAACAAAACTGAGTGAAATTTAATAGGATACACAGTAAAGAATAACCAACAAATTCTTCAAAATTTTCTATAAATTTGCCGTCTTACCCTTGAAGGTAACACATAAAATGGTGGATTGTTAGCTTGTCGAATTGAGTCAGTCAAATCATCAGCTTTTATTTCGTCTTCAAAAAAGTCTACATTTTGACTGTCAATATTTGATGCCAATTTAGATTCAGGAATTTCTATGCCTTCTAATTCATCTGAATCTAACTTTGGAAGTTCTCCACTTGTTTGAAAGTGTATAGCTTTAGATGGGACACCTAAGCCACCTCGAGTAGTTGCAGAAACTTGTACACTGTAAAATGTTCCAGGTATAAGATCTGGAAAAAATTGAAACCTTCAGATATATGACCAATTCAAATTAAACCATTTTAAAAGTTTATTTTCAGAGAAAAAATAATGTGAACAATATTTCATGTAGAAAACAGCTTTTTTTCAAAAAAGTCGTTAAAATCTGCAATGTTTGATACAATTCTATAAAAGACACCCTTCAATATGTATCAAAGTGTATATCTCAGAAAAAAACAAACAGCATATCCGGTTACGTGTTGCACAGAAGTTCATATTTCACTACATAACAAAATGTTACATTGACTGAATAGAAATCTAGTGACACAACACTAGTCATTATCAAATATGATTAATGAAAAGAATCATAGATATATTTAGAATAATATCTCTTTTTATGTGAATATTAATTCTCCCATTATCCCTTTTTTTCTATGCATAAAATTACAGGGTTTTATTATCTAAGTGAAAATGAATTTATTTGCAAATATTTAATGTTTGCATCAATTAATGTAACCATTATGATTGGAGAATCATTCTTCATTAGTTAGAATATATTATCTAATTTTAAAGTACCGATAATCGCTAATAGATTATGAATTAGGTATCTTATCTAACTATCACTTATTAGTAAAAAAAACTAAGTTAGTAGTGATGAGAACAGTTTTTATTCAGATGAATAGCTCTGAGTCACCTGTAAAACTTTCCACTTAAATTTAAGTGTAAAGACTACTGCAAAACATAAGTGCAAAAATAATTCCCTATAAAATGATTCGGTTATATGTTCTAGCTAACCAGAAGTCAACGAATAATGTTTTGCCTTAACTATAGAGAAAGACACCATTGAGTTTAGGGACACATGTATAGTTCATGAAGTAGCTGTTGTATACAAAGAAAAACTGAATCTTAAACATATAAACAAGTCTTTTTTCTTCAGCTGATTTTACCAAACTTATTCACAGATAAGAAAAACTCCAAAAAAGTGTTAAACGTCAGAAGTGTGCCTACTGATTTACATTCATTTTAAAGAACCTACTCTCTACAACGTAATTTCTTTTTGAACGTGGAACTTTAATAATTATAGGCTCTATTAAACGAGAAGAGTTGATGTTGATCACATAATTCATTAGTTCTCCAGTGCAATCTATATCACTTGGTGGACTCCATGATATTTTCACACTCTGAGTTCCCCGTGAAGTAATTTTAATCTAAACAATGAAAAAAATTTCAATATAAAAACACATGTTAAACAACGGAAAATATTTTTTTAAGTACAATAAAAATTATTGAGTTAAAATCACTTAGTCGCCAGTTATTTTGGTATGAACCACACCACAAGTGTGAGGGATAATGATGATACCTGGCTGTTCAGAGTGAATTAAGATAAACGGGGTTCGCACCTGCAACTAAATGACTGAGAGTTAAGCACCCTAACTAGTAAGGTATCACTCTGAATACATTCAAATATATAAATACTGACAATAATACTCCATACTTTAAAGTGATAATAAATAGACAAAACAGAATAAAGTTTTACTTACATTTTCAGGTGGAGTTTGTGGTGAAAGTGCTGGTACTCGTGGAGATGATGGCATTGTAGCCGGTGAACTTCTCATTGAATTCCCAACAGCAAATAAAAGTACACGATAAAAATTATCTGGTGGTAATCCAGTAACTATTGCATAATCTGCTGGAGCTGTAACATTGATAAGAACTTGACGATTTTGTGAAAATAATGGAGCTAAATAAACATTATGTCCAGTTTGATTATATATTGTATGTGTTCTTAAACAATGACTTAATAGATTATCTGATTTTTCATTGAGGCCAAATAAAATTAATCTTGAAATAGAATCAATAAAATAATAGCAATCAGTTAATTTTACTCTTACTAGTTGACATCGATACTAAACAAAATTTATTTAAACTATCAATAACGTGATTACATTAGTTTTTATAAATATTTCGCTTCATTTTTTGTATTGGTTATTTGAGTCTTTTCAGGGATTTTTAAGACTGTAAACGATCAGTCTCATATTGATATATGTACATTCTGTGTGCATCGATATTGTCTGGAGTGATGTGGTGTCTTCTAGTGTCATAAATAGAATGAAACGAGCATCCTGATTTATCACAATTGATTGATCACTGGGTGGTGATCAATGTCATGCTTGTCTAGTCCTTATTAGTGCAGATCGAATGCTATCGACCATGTTGCAATGTGGCCACCAATCTAGGTGACTCGACACTGTGGGCACTATATATTGAGATTTAGATGGTGGTTGGAGGTAGTCAACAGAAAACCCTGTTTCCTCCAACCACCATCTAAATCCTGATTTATAATTATTTTAATTAGTTTATTTATTCAGTGATTAACATTAAAGCCATTACACTATGCTTTATTTATAGTCTCCGTATGATGACGGTTTACTTGTCAAATTATTAGACCATATATTTATTTATTTCACAAAAAGTAAACTGAATCAAAATTAACTATTTGAATATGAAAATAATGATAATTTTGTTGTTTATATTGTATCCTTTTTACCACAGCTCTACCCATGTTAGTAAAATAAAGTCTTAGAAATATACCGTCCAATTTGATATTTACAGCAAGATACTTTAGAGATAAAGTAATGTTAACAAATTAATAAGTTCAATGTATAAACTGTAAACATAATCTTTATGCTCTGAACAAAATGACTGTATTATTTGTCAGTGACAAAGTTGTTTACTTATGTCTTTCATAGACATATCACAGTAAGGTATCCCAACTTGCTGGATGTAAAAAAGAAGTAAAAATAAGGACTTGAAATGAAATATTCAATGAAAACAATGCTTTATATGTAGAAATCACTTGATAATTCAAGGAAATAATATAAGATATTGTATAAATATTGAACATTGAGATGTAAATCCTCTACAAATTCATAAACACATCCTATCCTATATGCACTACATCAGTCATTTAATATTTAGTCGAAATTCGATATAATTACTTAACCAGATTTAAAGATGGATAAATCACAACAACAAAAAACGTCAAAACATTTTTTCGGTGGTACCTTACATTATTGAATTACTATTTTATATTACTTTCTAGTCCTTTAAATAAGATAATACCATATGGTTTTTTAATTAAACGATATATACACATATGTATGTCATTGTTTACAAATAAAATAATGTAGCGAAATACATTCATTAATTAGATTGATGCTTTGTCTTCAAATGAAAACACAAAATGAATACTGTTAACTAACAGAAGTTTGAATTATTTTGTCTTATATATGTAAAAGCATAGGGCCATTAGTTTAGCTACTGATTAAAATAACAGTACAGCACTGAAAATTTTACATTTCGGTGTATCAGTTAGCTTTTCCATCGCCATTAAATTCACAAGAATATGGTTAAAAAATTGACTTATGTAAAACTTGATTTTGTTGTGCAAATTATTTATTATTTTCGAGATAGTTTTTTCTTTTTTGAAATACACAAACATATGACTACTCATATAACTGCTCAGTGGTCTAATGGTTAAACGCTCGTGCGCGTGATTGATAGGTCCTGGGCTCGAATCTCGCGAGGCCGGATAGTGGATGCGCATCGCTGAGGAGTCTCACAATAGAACGAAACGGTCATCCAGTGCTTCCAGGTTTCCCATGGCAATCTAGCTTTGATTGACTCATGATCTGAACCATTAAAATTACTCATAATTTTGTTGAGCACTTGAGAAATTATGAATATTCACTTTTCAACACTTGGAAATGAAAACAGGTTAAAAGTTTACTGTTTTTAGCGGCTCCATCCACTACTTTTAAATGTCTAACAAGAGATTAATAGCTAATTCAGTTGTTAGTTTAGTGTTTTTTGTAAATAAACGTCAGAAACAAGAAATTATCAAATTTTTACCAGTCAATTATAGTTTCGATTTTTTGTGTGTTGAATCAAATGTATAATTAGTTTCAGAGGATCATAGAGATTAATCAGTTCGAAAATAATCCTTATCATACATTATTTTCAGCCAGGAAATCACTAGGATTCAAGAAGTATTCTACAACTGTTTTATTCTAGTATGGAACTCTTTAATGTTTCGATTTCTCGAAGGCGTATAGATACACATTTTTCAATCTTGGATATTATTCAACATTGGATTTGTACGCAGAAAGTAATTAAATTTAGACATTTAAAAATACATATGCAGACAATTAACTTACTCGTAATGTGTGATAAATTGTTCGTTTTTTTGTGCAGGAATCCATGATATATTTAAAGATCCAAAATTAAGAGGTACTATTTGCAAATTTCTTGGAGGTAAAAGTTGTGAATTCATTGAGTACTTAGCTTGTTTGAAATAGAAAAGAGAAATAAAGACTCAATAAAAACTGGGTAAGTTAAGGATTGTATTTATGAATCCCGAAATTAAGAAACCTATTGTTAAATTTACCAAAAAGAACAAAAAAAGGCACATGAGCCTAGATTTAATTTTTATATTTAACCTAAGTAAGTTTCATCAAATGAAACCGACTTTCTTTTCTTAAGGTCAATTTATATGTGCTTTATCCCTCTATGTCCATTTGTAATAAATCATTGGCTGATTCAGCTTGTAAATTGAGTCACAATGTTTACGAAACTCTTCAGCAACTAATTATTTGAATGGTTGAGATCATGAGTGAATTAAAGCTAGCTCACCATGGAAAACCTGCAAGCACTGGATGGCCGTTTCGTCCTATTGTGGGACTCCTCAGCAGAGTGCATCTGCGAACTCGCCTCTCGAGACACAAATCCAGGACCCATCAGTCTCGCGCGCAAGCACTTAACCACTAGACCACTGAGCCGGCCGGTACCCAATGGTGTTAATGTCTAACTTCAACTAATCCACGAAATTGAGCGACACATCCACCATTGTCTTCAGTGAGTTACTATCTCACAACAGACCTGGTTGAACTGCACTGTTCACTGCTTCTCACTAAACTCCAGGAAATACCTCTTGGATACCGTCACTAGTGAGCATATGATGATTATAATCAGAGAAGAGTTTTTTGTGGATATTACAGTAATTTCAGTGGTTGAGATCATGAATGAATTGAAGTTAGATCACCATAGAAAACCTGGAAGTTTGATGAACAATTCATTTAGATAAACGGAATTTACGTGTTCGATCGGTAGAGAACTCTCAAGTAATTAATTTCTTTGCAACTTTGCTTCAAAACATGACTGAATGATAGCTTTGTTTCAAAGAAGTTCCATGGATATAAATTGCGAATGTTTTAGTTGTGGTGATAGACATGTTAATTATTCACTAACCAATCTAAAGTAAAACTTGGATTCAAGTAAGACAAAGGGTATTTGTCTTTTGCTACTTGTTAGTGGTATATTATCTTGTCTAATGTTACACAAAAATGAATAATCTATAACCATTTAATGGTGCTTTTATAAATGAATTTAATATCAACAAAAGTTCTTATCATATCAGTCAAATTCCTTATCATAACTTTCTTTTTGATAGAAATTCTAGAAATATAAATCTATTTCTCATTTTACAACCAGGGACAGAATAGTAATATGTTTACAACATCCCATCATCTATAGTGACAAATTGGAACAATCAAATGTTCTAATAAAGTAAATCAGTGTACAGAAACTTTAAAAATAGTAATAATAAATATTCTACTGAAAATTTATTTAGTCTAATTATGTGATACGTTATTGTTTATTTTGGTAGTAAAGCATGGAATGTAATTGCATCGGTTACTGATAATAAACAAAAGAACCTATCACAAATATTAATCGACCCCAGTTACTACAAACGACATCAAGAATGTGAGATATACGATTGACATGGTGAACAGTATGAAGAGTGGAAATATTGTCAACTGGGATGGAATATAAAATAAGAAATCAAGTTTAAAAGAACTATGAAGGAAATAAGGGCGATATTTGATTCAGGATTTAGATGAAGATAAAGAAAAGAGAAATGCAATTTAGCTAATCTAACCTCTTATTCATATGTTGTAAGTATTAAGCAGGCTTAAAGGATTTTTTTGTCAAGGCTCAGACCAGTAGTCGGGGGAATTTTTGAATCGATGTCATTTCTTATTCTAACCTACATGATTTTAGTCCTTTTGAAAAATACACAATCAAAATTATATCCGACAAAATGTGATGAGAATTCAATGATAAAACACTGAAACCGGCAAACAGTTGAACTAAAAAATATTAGAAATTTAATGTCTACAGTACTATGATCGTTGACGGAAAGCCTCTCGAAATTTTCAGGTATTTCGTCATTTGTTTATCGAATCACAACGATGTAGATGAATGTATCAATAAGAGATATTTTACAACGACGACATTTATCATTCCATGTCTTTGAGAATTACTTATATTTCAAAAAACCAACATAAGTTGGTTTAGATTCGTTAGAACTTTTATATCTGTATCAAACTTCATAATATCTGGTGATAAATAACGATTAAATATCATCTCGTTAGTGGATTAGGAAGAGGAAGATTATCAGAACTATGTGATATGTTAGAGTAATACATTTCGAACAATCTTATCACACATTGCATACTTGTTAAACACATTTATATGTAAATATAAAAGGTGAAATAGACTAGAAATGGAGGGTAAGAGGAGACAAGGATAATAAAGGAATACTGTGAAAACAATTCGGAACCTCATCACTCTGGATAATAAACTACTATTGCCAGGGTAGGTTTAAGGTGAAAGTTCATGGTACGGTGAGACTTACTATAGCTTTGGTAGAGAAAAAAACTTGTCTACATCGCCTTACGATTTAGAGGCGATTCAAATAGCCTTTTATTAAAACAAAGGCTTAAATCAGTCATTAACAAGACACATTGTTCAGCGAAGGTCATTATCAAGGAAACAACAAGGTTCATGCTTAGTAGAAAACCTAAAAGACAAGAAAACGATTGCGTCGCATCCCACTGCGTTTACCAATTTAAATGTGTGTGTGGTCACACATACATAGGGAGGAGTAATCGTGATCTCAGTATTAGGGTGTGTGAACATGTGTCTAAATGGTTGCAGAAACAAATAGAATCAAATAACTCACAAAGAGTAGAGGATAAACATGCATTATCCTCTATTGCCAAACAGATAATTGAGATAGGTCATAAGATCGATCTAAACTCGGCTTTTGTGGTGTTGTATCAAAATGTAAAAGGGCATACACCAAGGTTTATTGAAGCCTTAACCATAAGAAATTTCAACCCCCCTCTGAGTATACAAAAACAGTTTGTTCTCACCTTAAACCCACCCTGGTAATATCAGTTTATTATCCAGAGTGATGAGGTTCCAAATTGTTTTCACACTATTCCTTTATTATCCTTGTCTCCTCTTACCCTCCATTTCTAGTCTATTTCACCTTTTATTTTTATATATAAATGTTTTTAATTTTAATGTTTATATGGAAATTATTTGTCAATATATAAATGTGTTTAACAAGTATGCAATGTGTGATAAGATTGTTCGAAATGTATTATTCTAACATATCACATAGTTCTGATAATCTTCGTCTTCTTATTACACTATTGAAATTTATCAAAAAAACTAATTGCTTTAAGTGATTTCAACTATTGAAATTATTAAAATCTCCACAAAACCCCTTCTGATAATAATCATCTGCTCACTAGTGACTGGTTTCAAGAAACACTCCTAAGGTTTTAGCGAGAAGCCGTGAACAGTGGAGTTCAACCAGGTCTTTTGTGAGACATCAGCTCACTGAAGACAATGGTGACAGTTGAGCAATTTCGTTGATTGCTTTAAATGTTATCTGTTGCAGCTTTATAGATAATAATAATAATAAAGAAGGAGAAGAAGAAGAAGAAAGAGAGGAATCAGTTTTTAAAAATAATAATTTTGTTAAGACTTCATTAACAATGATTCTAAATCTTATTGGATTTCATCAACAGAGATAATTATTTAAGATTACCCTGAACTAAAAATGAAAGAAAAAAAGAAAAGAAAATGATATGTGCATACTGTAAGTTCATAGTTTTTTTCAAGTTGTTTCCTTCTCAAATAAATAAAACTATAGTTGTATTACACGATTATTAAGTTTAAATAATGAAGAGGAACTCAGGTAAATTATTCTATTAATGCAACTGATAATTTCACTGATTGAAATCATGAGTCAATTAAGGCTAGACTACCATGGAAAACCTGGAAGCACTGGATGGCCGTTTATTCCTAGTATGGGACTCCGCAGCAGTGTGCATTCACGATCCCTCACCCTGCGAGATTCGAACCCAAAACAAATAATTTATAAGGATATATATATAAGGTGTAAAGCATATTGTTTAACTGAATAAAATGTGAAGACTAGTTTTATTTGAAAAATAGCTTACTCTATACTAGTGTAATACAATAACCATAAGGTGGCAATGGAATTACAAGTTATAATTTGAACATACACACCAAAGGATGTACAAGTATTTTTTCACTTGAATAATTTGTGAGAATAAGTCCAATTTAAAGATGGTACAAGCGAGAAAATGGCCATAGATGACATCAAATATATATATATATATATATATATTATATATATATATATATATGTTTTACAATAATAATATGATACTCATCGAGCAGATACGTTACGTAATAATTACATAATGACATTTAAATTAACATTGAGTAATTGGAAGAAAGAGGATTATTATTATTCAAAGTAATCAAGAAGTTGCTATGTTGCGTAATATAAGAAACAAAGAAGGAATAGAATTTTACCGGATGGTCAATAGGATAGTAGTTACGTAAGAATGAATGTTGAGAAGTTATAAGGCTCAAAAGCGATAGAAGCAAAATTACAAAAATTTTAAAATTAAAATAAAAATGGAAGAAGTATGAAAAATAGTTCTTCTGACGGAAATTCTCTACTTTAGGCCTGCAGGTATAAAATTTCCGCCAGAAGAAATATTTTTCATACTTCTTCCATTTTTTTTTAATTTTAAAATTTTTGTAATTTTGCTTCTATCGCTTTTGAGCCTTATAACTTCTCAACATTCATTCTTACGTAACTACTATCCTATTGACCATCCGGTAAAATTCTATTCCTTCTTTGTTTCTTATATTACGCAACATAGCAACTTCTTGATTACTTTGAATAATAATAATCCTCTTTCTTCCAATTACTCAATGTTAATTTAACTGTCATTATGTAATTATTACGTAACGTATCTGCTCGATGAGTATCATATTATTATTGTAAAACATATATATATATATATATATATATATATATATATATATATATATATATATATATATATTAGTGTAGAGTCATGATGAAAAACTAATTGAAAAGAAATTTCTTCGCTCAATTCGTTCCTTCTTTATTTATCAAATGGCAAAATGGGAATTTTCACTATATTTACATCAAATAATTATCGTGTCATTATCGTGGCGAATTGATTAAAGTCGAAGATGTAAAATCACTAGATTCGAATTTCGTGTACATAAAGTATCATGCTATTTAGTAGATCTGTAGATAACAGCTTAGATCTAGTGGAAAGTTATGGTTGAACAGAATTAAATATATTCAAATTAGCATAAAACAGTTAACCATCAATTATTGGTTTTTATTAATTTTCTTAATGATATTAGTTTGTGATGAAAATTTTATTCAACGAGAATTAATTATTTATAAAATAATAGAAAACTTTAACTGATCATGTACAAAAGTCACATTCTTGCTATTATAAACAATACATATAACTTTAAATACTGAAACAGAAGCTAGTGAGCGAAATAATTTTACAAATGAATGTACCCCAATGAACGTTTAATGTAAGGTCGTACGAAACTAATATATAAACCTCGTCAAACAAACTACTTAATTGTTTCATAGTCAGCATTCCTATGCACAGAGAACGTTTTCTTTGTAAATAATAATAATAATAATACGTATCAGGTTTGTTTTTATGATCATAAAGACAAAACATACAATTTAAATCAAATGTTTGTTAGTTAGTAGGTGATAAAACCTTTAAAAATAGAAACTTGTTATGATGAATAAGGTAGGTCATTACTAGTTTTAACAGTCATAATCACCTACAAGAAAAATCTACAATTTATATGCACATATATCTGAGTTAAGTCAGTAGAACAAATAATTTCACTGGAATTTTCTTTTTCTTTATACTGGTCTGCTAGTAAGGAGTTAATAATTTTATGTTTCTGATTTTCTTAATGTTGGTCGAATCATACCATTCATGTTTAAGAGTGGACAATGGTGTAAGGTGATTGGTATAAGTAAATGAAATACACTAGGACTCGATTTTGACTTGGCTTATATCTGTTACTAAACTGTATTTGAAGAGAGAAATAGCGTTGTTCATGGAAGTCGATAATTGTATTATGGTCAAAATATTACCATCTTGTTGCAAAATATGTCAAGTAACCGTTTATAGTACTAAGTTGTCTTTACTAATCAATCATTTGGTAGTGACTAATATCATGATGTTTAGTCTTTACTGTTGATTTAATCTTATCTGTCAACTTGCGATTTTACCCAAAGTTTACTCAAATATGCATTACATTGCTTTGAAAGGATGCGATGCATGATCATGACAACAAAATACTGAGTCATAAAATTCACAAAATATCAACCTTTAGTAGTGATGATATGAATCTCTAATGTTTTCATGCTCCTTTCAGGTTGTTTTTAATTCTTATTGCAAAAATGTTATTTCTCTTTAAATATTAAGTTCATGCAGATTGAGAATATTTGAACAGTCAATTACTTGAACTATTTGACCTGTGCACGAAACAACTAGGAATATAACAACTAACAAAAAATGTGATATATTATTCGCTTCGGTTATTCTAGTTCTGGACATTTATAATTTATTCGACTGGTTTTGTAATTGTTAACTTCCATATGTTGCTATAGAAATTTTTCTGTTTAGTTCCAAATTTAATTAATCAGAGATAAAGAAACAACTTATCATCTCTCATGCCTATTACATCACAGAACAATATGACAACTTACTCTTTATTTACGCGTTGTATGTATAGTACACAGTTAAAACGTAAACAGAAACATACTATATACTCTAAGAACTTTGTCGTTTCGCGCATGAACAAATGGGTCATATCAGGCATAAAAGTAATAATATCTACCCGTTAATAATAATAATTATTATGCTCTCTACTTTAGTTGAGTATATTTGATCACAAAAATAATACAACATTTCACGTTGAACCGGATAAACATGACATAAATAGACTGTCAGTTGGAATTAAAAAATAGACGTTGCTGACAAGAAGTTTAATTCAATTATCCTTAAAGATAATACACAATTTTTACTGTCAAAATGGTCCTTTCTTAAACATTCCCTATTCCCTTTCATTAACACAAGGATCATAAGGACAGTTCTCAATTCCATGACTTAGCTGTATATCTAAATCTACATGCAATAGAGTTTTTCCCTACTAAGATTCATTTTAAGTGTTCGATCCCAACGAAAATAACTCGTAGATATAAAAAACATTAAAAACGAACTAAGACTCCTAAAGAAGCATATGACTTATTTGTCACCAGTTATTCCCTAATGTACCTCTTACACTGATAATTCAGTTTACAAATTAGCTTGACGCCTAACCTAAGGTTTTGAATATCTTCTTACTAAAACCGCTGGGTAGATGGTAACCAGTAGATAGTATAAGAATTTGTGTCTAAGATTTTACCTTCTATATTACTTACATAAACATTTTAGACGACAATAAATTATGGTGAATAATTCTATTTCCTTACCGTACTTATAATACCATCGAAACTATCAGCACAGTAATCATTTTGACACTTTTCATTTTATTTCATAATGATTAACCTCTTTATTTACTCCACACAAATTCAGAGAAAATCGATCAACCAGTCCTCCATAGGTTCACTTTATAAGCAAAATAATTACAGATAGAAGAAATTTCAATACACTAGAACAACTAGTCGTTAATCAATAATCACAGTGAAAACACAAATGTAATATTGTTCTAAGTTTTTAGGGTGTTTTTTTAATTTCTCACTAATGTAGACTAAAAAATGATCCACTTAAGATAAGCAAATGTTTGTCTTAATATACACATGATGTTCATTTCACTTATGACTTCATTTGTGTTTATTTTGCGTACACTATGTGTTGAATGTAGTACTATTTGTTAATTCCATCCTGGCTTAGTCAAAAATCGTAAATGGTAATATGTCAGTTAACTGTTTAAAACGTTTCTTAAGAAAATATTTAAAAAAACAAATAGAAATACGATGAAGATCAAAAGATAGAACTATGGACAGACCTCAGATGACTAAACTTCTTTCCATTTAATACTAATCAAATAGAATAGTTGAAAATGATAGTTACTGCTTAGAGAAAATAATAATAAAAGAGTTGAATTAGGTTTTCACAATCCATTCTTAGACAAAGATAAGAACCAATTGTTCCTGATTGACTAAGAGATAGAATTCATTTTTTAGTCCATTTCTTAATATGCAATCATTTATATGTATCAAATACTTATACCTTTCTGAATGGCTACAGATTGATAACGATAATCCTCATAAAATGATTCATAAATGTTTTCCATTCAAATTATAAGTGTTTAGATCGAGTATGATTTTATAGTTGTTAAGCAAAATCAAAAATTCCAAGTTCAATAAACTACTTGATAAAAAATCCCTAATTATATCCCGGCAACTGAATAATAACTTCAAAGTTTAAAATCTGAAGTATAAGAGCAGAAAGAGTAAATAATGAGGAATTAAGTAATTTGATGAACCGCTTACCATTTGTCGTCAACTCGGAATATCGTTTTGTTCGGGAATGTCTGGTCTGTTCAGTTTCTGAAAGTCTGAAAAAATAAGATCACACCAGTACAGGTAAATAAAACTTATTACCAAGTAGATTTATAATAATTGGTCATAAATTATTTATCAAAGAAATATGTAATGTTGATATTTTAAGGGTTAATATTTTTTTTCAGAACAATTCATTCACAATACTCTTAAATGATCACGTATGCATGGATTCAGGTAAGTATATGAACTTACGAGGAAATTTTATGTAACTGAGAAGTATGCGTTACATGAACTTCGAAGACACATTTATAATCTACATTTCACTGAATCATTTACAAACAGCATTAGCATAAAATGGTAAACTGACTCTTTTATAGAGTTGAATAAACTGATTTCCTGAAGGCTTTTGGTTTACATCATAAAAATATTTAGCCTATATTTTAACTCTTGTTATTGCTCCTCCATATAACCATAAATAGTCATGTAGCTTGCGTAATACAGATTATTTACATAGAAGATTTCAACATTGTTTTTTGTATGTACAATACAATCAATAACAATTTCATTTAGTTTGAAGCACACCGAAGTGCCTACTGATAAAATATCTTTTATATTGAATTATAAGCAATGAGCGTACATAACTTAGTTTCTGATGAAATCTTTATACAAGCATATTTATTTAACAAAAAAGCAACTAGCTATATAAAAGGGCATTGATTGTTCAATGTGCATTCTCGATTTTAATTATTTACCATTTGTTTGTTCCTAAAATCCATTCATTTTTATATTTTAATATCTGGCCACAACACTTTGCATATTTTATTATGATTATTCATCTCAATAATAAACAATATATGAGCTATACTAAAGCAACAAAGCTCTAGTTACAGAATTATTACATGACAAAGAGACTTAACTGAACATATTACTATTTTCTAATACATCTACTGTGGTGAACAAGAACACAAGTGTGAACAATCTAATGTATTTTAATACAAAATTACAGAATCTCTTAGTAAAACCTGAGAACAATACAGTAAATACTTTGTTTACAAAATAACAGTCAATCATCTCAAACTTCATTGTTCCTTCGTTTCCACAACAATCATTATCTATTTTCGTTCTCTTTTCTTCGATCTTCTTAACCTACTACCACCAGGTGTTTCATGTTCGACTGATGATATATACTACTTATATCTGTGACATCAGTTGCACACATCACACTACTTTAAATAATCAAACTAAATTGATTGAAAGGATTTGTTTAATTTCATGTAGGTAATAACATCTGATAGTCTGGTCATAATAGACTACATAATGTTTTAAGCATTTAATATCATGTTTTCTTTATCAATTGAATTTTATTGTAAATCTAGTATCGACTTTATGTAGACACAGTCATTTATATAATAATAACTTAAGCATAAAAGTGTGATGCCAAACCCACATATCCACGAAAGTAGTCAGCATTTGAAAAGTAAGATATTTCGGTACATGATAATTTTTCTGGAAACTTCACTAATTAATCGATGAATATTTCAATTTGAGGGAATAACGGTAGGTAGTTTGTTGTTGAATGAGACACGTATTAGGTTCATATTTTAACAGAAAAATCAATATCAGTCCATCTTAAAATATATTGATCATAGTACCAAACACAATTTGTTTTATAAGAAAAAAAGTTATACTGGAGTAGCAAAAAGTATCCAGTAATAATAAGAATCAGAATTAAGAGAAATATGAAGAATGAGTACATCTACAAAACTTTATTCAATTTCCAGCTATTTCATTGAAGGTCCTCAATCTCTTAGTACATAATATATATGGAGTATTCACGAAAAAATATCTATTTAATAATGTGACTCAGTTTACCGAACAAATAGTTTACGAATTGATCTCATACCTTAGTTGAAAAGCAACTAGTCTTCTACAAGACTACTTTTTTAGTTTATGAACATTGTAGGTTGAAGTAGACGTTTGTCAGTTTCTCAAAAGACCTTAATCAAATACTTTAAACGACAAAAATGATGGATTTATCAAACCATTTGCCAAACTACCTAGCGTTCTAATTCTAACCTCAGAGTTATTTTCTGTATATTGATAACAGAATAATAATAAAAATGCATTACCTAGTCTCGAGCTTATAAATTAATACAAAATTAAAGATTCCGTAAATCCACCCTTGTAGTTCAAATAAGATGCGATTACCGGTTAATTCATCAACAACAAAAAAACTAATTTACCTAGTGTATTTATTGGTTCATAACACAGTTTTATTTATATAGTTGAAATATTGAAAAATTCTCCTGCTGATTTTCTGTTTGAAGTTACATTGCATATGTTATTAAATTGATAAATATATAGTTACACTAGTTAAGGTAGGGCAAGCCAAAGGAGGGAACTTTCTATTTATCGCTTAATTAATATTTTAATGATTACATGTTTCGAAGAAAACGGCTTTTTAAAACAAATCTAATAAATGAAATATATTCATCACGTTACCAGGACATGTCCATTAGTAATCAGTTGCTTAATGAATAATAATATAATATTACATTTAGTACAATAAATTCTGGTTCTAATCATTGTGAAATATCAACACAAAATCATTTCTATCAATTAAGGCGAAAAAGACATTTATGACCTCATGTATAACTGGAAAAAGCATTTTGTCTAATATCTTGTGTGTGTGTGTGTTGTATGAGGGAGAGAGAGAAAAAGAGAAAATAGAATATTTTCAGTCACAAAAAATATCATGATAAAAGTAAATATATAAAGCTCAAAAGAAAACAAATCGCTTATGACTAAACACATTTTATGATTACTTCAAATCGTAAATAGTATATACATAAATAAATGATATAAATCACCCTTACTCATCATTATACAGACTGTTAATGTTTGTGGAGTTTAATATAAAATAATTGAATGTTCAAGTATGCCTTTCAGAAAACATCATGATAGTATATTTTTGCTACTGGAATTTAAGTATCTTTAAAAACTGGACGAAAATCCACTATGGATACTAAAATGTGTGAAGTATTTTAGTTTTTTTATTGTAAATTTATTCTTCTAGAAAAAAACTGTTTATGGATTAACTGATAAAGTATATACGTTCATCTCACAAGTTGGTTAGGTGTAATAATCACAACAAACATGATGTATGTATGCTATTTCCGAGAAGTTGCAAAGTATTTACATAACGCATATGAATGGCTTTCAGTCGTTCATTGCCATCTTCTGGTATGTTCTGAAATCTAAACTATCTTCTTAACTGTTCGAAAACCGTTCGGTCAATGCACTGAAGTTCTTCACTCTGTCTAATGGTTGCTGCAAGTTCAAAACCACATTCCGCTACAAATTACTTACAAGCATCCCTGTGTGTAGGGTCCACTACACGGTTAATGAAACGCATTGGTTGAAATTGAAAAAAATCTTCAGTCATACGATGCTTCAGCTTAAAATTTTGTGTCTGGAATGATGATAAGTTTTGAGGTGTATTCTTCAACTTAATGAGTCCTTTCGTAAATAACATTAGAGCGAAAAATTATAAAGTACATTGTTTCATTCATTCCCTGTTGATTACCATAAATTAAAATTGATTTACAATAGCGTGATAAGAAATATCTGCAGGATTAACTTAACGTTGAATTACTAATTATTAAAGAAGTATTTCCAAGTTAAACATCACATCCCACTACTACAACCTATGAGCGTATTTATCACAAACTGTCATCTGTGGAAACCTTCAGTAACATAAACTCAAGCTGAGTTAAACAGCAGAGTAAAAAAGCTTTTCTTTCAGTATACACTTTTTTTACACCTACATGTCTGCTAACGAAAAACATAATTTGATCAGAGAAAGTTCCAGAGTTAAAAGCCATACTTATCTATCATGTATTGTAAATTACGGTGTTCTATTAATGTTTTTGGGCTACCTTTTAATGTTAGAAACAAAATATATGAATCAAAATAGAAAACATTGCCAGAATTCCATACAAATGATATTTAAAAATGCGTACTTACCTTTTCGTATACTTGATGGGTACATTCTTCCTATTTTTTTGTAAATAATCTGTATGATTCAAGAAAGAGAAATAATTATATGTAATAAAACCTGTTTATCTGTTTCCATTCAAAGATTAAATATCCGGAATAATTCCCATGGTGACAACCTAATCTTTACATTAAATGATAATAGTCATAGCTCTCAATGAATAAACCCATTTTTATTTACAAAAATTGTTAATTACTGATCGGTCAACATACTAATTGTTGAGTACGCTAACAAGATTCAATGTAGATCCTTAAAAATTAACACTTACATACAGCTGTAATATTTTTTTATTGTCAGACAATGCCGAATTTTGAATTCAAGTTTAATTCTTTAAATATTTTAGTGCATGAAACGTATGAGTATGAAACATGTAAAGCGATCATTATATTTAAATCATACTTCATACTTCAAAGATAATTATTTGGGAGCGTTACAAAGTGTAAATGATCAATTTGCTGTAATACTAATAACAATGTAAGCGATTTTTGTGTGATAAACGTGTTATTGAGAGAAGACATTAGCTAATTCAAATACACGCATAAATTCATGAAAAATATGGGATATTTAATCGTGTACGGGACTCCTAAGCAGCGCAGTTATCCGCTGAAAACAATGAAAGATAGTAGTGCAGTGTAATTGATTGGTCCAAGTTAAACTTGCATACCACCGGATCTAGGCTCAGTGGTCTAAGTGTTTGCGCGAGAGATCGAAGGTGCTGGGTTTGATACCCGCATGTGGATTTTCATTACTGAGTAGTCCCATGCTAGGACGAAGTGACCATACAGTGCTTTCGGTGGTTGTCTAACTTCAATCGGTTCATTAACCCAATGAAATTCAGCAGTCGCCACAATCCTATACTAAAATTTAAACTGTTTCTAAAATAAGGGGATATTGTTTTGTTCAGCAAATTAAGAGCATGTAAGGTAAAAGCAATTTCACTGTTATAATAAAACATTTCGTTAAAATAACAATAAAATATTTAACTTCATATTTCGTTACAACATACATGATTTAATCATTCACTCATAATGTTATTCGGTTTACCTAATAAAATGTTTCATGTCAGTTTTATGACAATGTTAATTGTTAGGCTGTTAATCTATCTGAATGGAATCACGACTGTCTACCTTGACATTTAGTCAAAGTATCTATAATATTTAGGTCTACGTTAAAAATACACTTTCTTATCCAATCATCAAATTTTTTGATTGGCATGGACTATCAGTCGACAGTTTAAAAACTACATCAGTTTTGTGAGTAGTATTTCTTTAATATTATGGGTGATTACAATCGTTTTTTAAATTATTGAAGTCAGGTTGTTCGAGTATACGTCAACACCGTAGCTTTTAGTATTTAGCCAACGTGTAATGCAAGTTAGCTGATATACTAGGTATTTTTTAGACGGTCAGCAGGAAACCCTAGATCTGGATTTTCAGTAGTTTGGACGACCTCTATGACACACAAACCCACGTCACTTTTCTTCATAGTTATTTAGGCTTTAACAAGTCTCGTTCAGTATCCCTGATCAATAGGCAGTAACGAGCAGCATTTTTGCTTAGAAGTACCCATTTCTTTTCATTCTACTGGCCGTATCTAATAGTTTCTAATAGTATATGTTGGACTAAATATCTTCTACGCAAATAGCATAAAATTTCATTTCATTTTATATAATTAAGTGTTAAATAATAAACTTACAGTCTTTCTGATTATTTTTGAACCACTTCAAATACAGATACGAAATTAAATAAGTTAGTTGTCTGTGTAGAGGTGTATATATATTTTTATCAAAAGGAGTTTTGTGAAGATTTTAGAAATTTCACCAGTTGAAATCATGAGTCAACTGGAGCTAGACGGTGGCGCAATTTCATGGATTGGTCGAAGTTAGACATTAACACCGTTGGATGCCGACCAGCTCAGTTGTCTAGTGATTAAGCGCTCTCACGCGAGACTGATGGGTCCTGGGTTTGAATCTCGCAGGAGGCGGGATCGTGGATGTGCACTACTGAGGAGTCCCATACTAGGACGAAACGGCCGTCCATTGCTTTCAGGTTTTCTATGGTGGCCTAGCTTCAAATGACTCATGATTTCAACTAACGATATATTTTTATCTTACATTTTGATGATCCTATTGTTCTATGAAATAGGCTATTTAAAAAGTGATATTTCACTTTCAAACAACAAATTAGTCTTGCGATCGACATCTTACGAATGTAAAATAAATATAAATAGAATTTTCAATGTGGACTCAACAATACCCAAGTAAAATCTATCAGACATTCACATAAAAAGTATTTCATCAAACATGTTTGAAATACATTTAGTTAATGGGAAACTTTAAAAGTGACATTTAAAATCATTCACTCAAACAAAAATTCAGAATGATTGAAAATTTATTGGGCACGAAAATTATGCCGTACGTAAGTCATCATTAAAATGAGTTAGTTCAGTCTGAACGAGTTGTGAATGTGAAACAACAACAGGTTGACTAGATTATGCCTTCTATTTCATAAGTTGACTATTGACTAACATCTATCAAAGCTAAAATATGAAAACTGCTGATACTTTCAAAACTAAACAAGATTACATATGTTTAGGTTCGAGTTTTTCTGTTGTTGAAACTGATAAATAATTTGATTTTGCTTTCTGTTGACATTTGTAAGTCATCAGTAAATAGACTCAATAGTATTGGTCTCCACATTAAGCTCCAGATATATTCAGCTGATAAGTTAAACATGCAATAAAAAGAACGTCCGGAATTCCACTACCAACTACAAACTAACCTTATAGAGAAAGAATAATTTTGAAATGGATATCAAGTATTATGAACTACTCAATGCTTTCACTTTAGACTAATACAATCTCATCAAACAATAAATTTTATTTAAACGCTTGTAACTAAGCAAGTTAATATAAAGACTATACTTTATTATATATGCATGTGATAAATAAATCAGTATTGTTGACTTTTCTATTCACCGACTAATAATTTATAGTAGATATTAATCTGTTTAACAGACAATAAACGGTTAGTCATACTTGAATATGACTTTATTGAATGAATAGCATAATTAGCCCCTTTATACATAATTCAATAAAACGAAAATTCCTTTTATTAGTATAGGGTTGTGGTTTGATTCATGTTTTTAATGTAGTTCCTTTGATATCATCTCAATATCTCATTTTTTCTTTGTTTTCATATTCATGTAAAAAATAAATAAATAAATACAGTCTATCAGTAATGATAATCAAACGGGTTTTTTAATGGAATAATTTCGTTATCAATATTTAGGACTAGTAACAATCTGGTAAATGTAAACATGAAATTATTACAAAAAGATTGATCTATAGTTCTATATTGAATGTTTGAATATTCATTTCCGTAAAATAGTTTGTGCGGCACCAGTGAACTAACGAATTAAAACCTAAGCAATGAACAAACGAGAACAATTACAATTAACAAAAAGCTAATTGAATAAATTATGGATTATTAAGATAGCTGTCATTATTATTATTATTATTAGTAGTAGTAGTAGTAGAAGTAGCAACCATGAGAGTTTTAATTAAAAATTAAATGAATGGGAATAATTAAAATTTTTAAGAATATAAAAAATTAGTATTCACTGTTCGTCGCCATTATGGGATGAAAAATTTATTTGTTTCTCTCTCTTTAGGGATGGTAAGAGAAATATATGAAAGAAAATAAATGGACATTTACAAGAATAATGAGTCGATCTAAGTTAGACCACCATTTGCAAATCTGGAAGCACTGGATAGCCGTTTCATCTTAGTAAGAAACTCCTCAGCAACCCGCAGCGACGAACACGCACACGGAACTCGAATTCTGAACCTTCGACCTCGCGCAAGAATGCTTAACCTCGACTTATGAATTCAACTGTTAATATACCACAATCTCCACGAATAAAATCATTAAGTCACTATCATCCTTACTTTTCATCTAAATGAAAATACGTTGTTAAAAGAATTCAGGTAACCAAAATATGGAACAACTGATGAATGTCAGACAAAACAAGCAATATCATAACACTTATGTTAACAAATTTGAATTTTTTTTCTTTCATTGAAATATGATACGGATTATGCAATAAATGTTCGCCTGTTTTTTCTAAAAATTCAGAGTTGAATGCTATACAGATAATGGATGATTTTTAAGGATAAAGTCTTTGGAAAATAGCCCTGACGACAGTAATATAAAAATAAAGTAAGTAGATAATATAAAAACATAATTTAATTAGACAAAAGATTATATGAAGTGAAATAATGTCAAATTTTTAAATTATTTAGTTATTGATACTCCTGTATACTCTAAGTCCAATCCTTCAGAAGATATCAGTTCACAAAACTGATGATTGTGAGACTAAGGTATGTCAGTATTGTCCAGTAATCTATGATTTTCAATGATTATTATGTTAGTATCAAATATTATTCAGATTTATGAGTTATCATTAGTTGTTCAATTTTATGTGTTACATCTGATACTAATTCACGTTGACGACTGTGTGCATGAATTTTATTGAAAAAACGCTGAAATCCTGAACGAAATATGTTCTGAAAATATTAGTAGAATTTCTGGAAGGACGATATTCAGTTCATTTAGCAGTCAATAGACATGATATAAATTCAACCTAATAATTCGTATAGAAAATGTAAATTAATCACACGATGAAAGGTGAGTCGCAAAAGACAGTCATTAAGACTGAAAAAACAAATGGCGGCTACACAGCCTGTAAAGATAAATAGTTACAGACAAGCTCATCGGAACAAAGCAACTTAAAACACCTGTGGAATTAATGTAAAACTCACTTATACACCAGATATATGATGATGTTAAACATAACGACAACAAAAGCCTCTAAGTTAGACCATCTAACCCAGAGAATACAATATTATCAATAGTAATGTAGTAAAGAAAATTTATGAGAAATATGGAATCAAATTCAGCGAGAGAATAGTGTATGACAGCTATCAAAAAAGCAACTTATCAATTGACGACAAATAATCTCAAAATATTCATACACAAGTGTTTAACATTTCAAGTAACTTACTATTTTCTTCCCATTCTCTCATTATCTCATTAGTGAATAAACAGAAGGAAATGATATTGACTGAAGGCATTTTTAATAACTGTTGAAGTTTATGTTCAACGTCCTCAATTGACAACTGTTTGTAATTGACAAGTAGGAGAACAGTTGTAAATGTAATATTTTTTATTTGAATGGTATATGTGGCATGTTTTTGAATACAATAGCAAAATAAACACATATTATTTGATTTAATTTCAGATTGTACCATAAGTAAAGGTGTTTTATAATTACGGGGATCGGTAGCAGTATTGGTACAGTCAATTTGGCCAAATAAATTACGAACCTGGAATAGAATACAAAATAAACTATATATATATATATATATATATATATATATATATATATATATATGTATGTATATATAACTTCACCACAAATAAGAGTATATACGGTGGTGATTATTATTAGTTTCAAGGGCTTGCAGAAAATTTCGGATCATCAGATACCCCGAAAAATCAATATTTTAAGAAAAAATTGGGTTGCATTCAATAGAAAAGAGAAAAAAGTCGTGTAATGTGTATTATTTGTACAGAACTTCTAGTTAGTTACTTTACAGTGAATCCTTCTACATAAAATATACTGACTGAGAACATAATTAGACTAATTAAGTGAAAGACAGTGTAGCGTTTAATCATAACCTGCTATCAATAATTTAATTTTCATGGAAGTAACAAACAAATGAAATTATAAACAAACTATTTTGTGTGAAAAGTTATGTAATATACCAGTCATATCATGGTACTATTACTATGCTAATATAAATCTAAATAGGATCTGGTCACCAACCATAACTGTACTCAATAATAGTCGATGACATGATATGACAAAGATGTCAATTAACTTTATTCATAATTAGAAAAGAATGAAACCAAGTCATTATGTAGTTGTAAATGATTATATTAGATTATTATTGTTCAAATGTTAGATGATACAAAAACTTGTCGATTATATTGCCTGAAATAAAATTAAAACTGTTGAATAGATATTTAAACAAATAATACTTTCTGAAAAATTCCCATTAAGTTAGAACACAATTATATGAACGTTTGAATGAACATGATTACAGCATAATAACTTAGAGAACAGTTTCTAAAATTGTTCAGCAATTACAATCTTGTAATCAACCCATTGTGTTAAAGGCATTCAATGAGTCACAACTGATTGATCACTGGGTAGTGATGAATGTCATGTGTGTCAAGTCCTTATTTAGCGCAGATCGAATGCTATCACCACCCAGTGATCAATCAATTGTGATTAAATTTCAGTCCTATAGGAGGTCGGTCGCGTCCCGGATAGCTCAGCGGTAACGTCTCTGACTGTGAAGCTAGGTGACACGGGATGTAATCCCCCAGGGAGCACCAGTTCCCTCAAGATTACAGGTACACCTTGCTGACGAGTGCCAAATAGCACGGAACCCGTGCCCAGGGTTTCCTGTCGCCTACCTACAACCATCATCTAATCGCATTCAATGAGTTCCTGAAGTATAACGTAACATTCACAGAAACGAAAACATCATTAAAATTTATAAAGCACAATATTGAATCATGTCATTGTCTTAAACTGTTCTATAAGTCATTACACTGTAATCCTATTCATCCAGACGCTTATATAATTGTGTTTTAAATAATACGTATATTGTTACCATGAATAATAATAATAATATTTTATTACCTATGAGAATTAGAAAAGAATTACAAATAGAACACTTCAATTTCATTTACTTTCAAATGTATTAATAAGCATTAAATGTATTTTGTTTATAGAATTTTCTTTATTATACATTTTGTATTAAAATATGTATTTATTATTGAATTTTAATGTTTAAATAATAGTTTATTCAAAGAAAGCGGTATCATTATTTGTTTAGGCTGGAAACACACCTGTTTTATTATTAAATTATTAGTAACAATATTGTAATATTTACTAATGTTACTAATGACTCATAAGTTTATATAATTAGTTAGCAACTATAAACATTTGAAATATAAAGGCTTAAATTTTAATTTATGTCTGTTGGTATACATTTACTTTTTTTTATTTTTTAGATATTTCTTTAGTTATATTCTACACTATATTCGTGTTGTGAAAGATTTTGGAATCGCAAATGTGTTTCCTATTATTTATCAATAAGAACAAAATTCGTTGACAAATATTAACTCGTAACATCACAATCGATTGATCACTGGGTGGTGATCAGTGTCATGCTTGTCTAGTCTTTATTAATGCAGATCGAATGCTATCGATCATGTTGCATTGTGGCCACCAGTCTAGGTGACTCGACACTGCGGGCACTATATATTGAGATAAGATGGTAGTTGGAGGTAGTCAACAGGAAACCCTGGACACGGGTTTCGTGCTACTTGGCATTCGTCAGCAAGGTGTACCTGTAATCTTGAGGGAACTGCTGCTCCCTGGCGGCTCGGATAGCTCAGTGATAACGTCTCTGACTGTGAAGCTGGGTTACACGAGATCGAATCCGCCAGGGAACACCAGTTCCCTCAAGATTACAGGTACACCCTGCTGACGAGTGCCAAGTAGCACGAAACCCGGGTCCATGGTTTCCTGTTGACAACCTTCAACCACCATCTAATCTCAATTAACTCGTAACATTAATTGATTAAAGGTTGACAATCAAAGTAATTGATACTGTATTTAAGTCTTAGTGTAGGCTTCGGCTCCAAGATAAGTTATACTGGTAGCTATAAGCCAAATTATTTGATATTTTTTAAGTTTTTGATTGAGATCATGAACCGATTGATGTTACACTACCGGTGGAAATCTGGAAGTACTGGACGGCCGTTTCGTTTTATTGTGAGACACCTCAGCAGTGCGCATTCACGGTCCCGTTCGTGGGATTCAAACTCAGGGCCTTCAGTCTCGCACACGAACGCTTAACTTACTGGACCACTGAGCCGGCATCTAATGATGTTGGTGTCTCACATCAGTCAATCCACAACCATCTTCCATTGTACTGAGGTAGATACATGTATCTACCCGACACGGATTAGCTCTACTGGTCACGGCTTTTCATTAGAACTCCGAGAATTCCCCCACAAAGCTAGTCAATAGTGAGCACATATGTTAATTATCAGCACAAGTTTTGCGGAGATAATTAAGTCCTGGTCCCAACGGTGGTCTAACACCAATCGATTCATGATCTCAATCAAAAACCTAATAATCTCCACAACCCCTATACTAATGATATTTTTTAAATGTTACAAATAAAACAAAACATGATAAGCATCTAGGTATCATTACTAATGTTTGACTTGATAATTTCAAATAAATTGAGCAATGGATAGATTGGTACAAATAAATCATATATTTTTAATATCCCAATAAGTACAAAAATGAGATTTTCTGACGTTTCGTAACTCATTTTAAGCCACTTCTTTATAGAATAGATAACCACATCAAAATTATTCCAAGTTTAGATTAATTTTCTAATTTATTTATAATAAGCATCTGTTTGAAAATAATATTTTATTATGTACTTGTGTTGAATTATTATAGATTGAAAAACTAGTTAAAAAAATTGAAAGTTCAAGTACTGATCAACACAAAACTTAAGTGAAACGGGCGAAGATATGGATTAATGTTATGTTGTTAAAGATAAATATCTAGTCACTATAATGTAAACGTATTTAAGAATATTACACAACCACGTAATTCGTTCTTCCTTAATCACAGAACTGATCATAACCAATATGAACTGAAAATAAAATCTATCTATATACAAGTTATGCAATGACGAGTATGAAATTTAATTTTGTCTAGCAAGAAGATAAGCAAACACTTGCACGGCATCCCTCGAAAAGTATTGTAATTTACGTAGATAATATAATCTAATGATATTAATAGTTTTTTAATCTTTCTATTCAAAAAAGTTTATTCGTGAATAATATAAAAGCTGGTAATCCTTAAGCGATTACAAGTAACTCTTAAATATTATACCTTATCAAGGATATAAAGATTTAGGATAACTAATTATATTAATATAATGAATGAAAAAAATATCTAGTCTATGCATTACTCTATTTAAATCAGAAAATAAACTTTGATTTGACATTGTAATAGAAAACATAGTTACATGTTTTTTTCCTGTATGACTATAGTACATTTAAATACTCTTTATATATTCTATAACAATACCAGCTTAGTTTCAAAAGAAAACAATTATTAACACTGTACAACATTTTAAACATGTTCATTGCTCCCGTATATTCTTTTGTTTTGTTATTTTTTTTTTCTTTAAGCACCGAAGCAAATGAATCTATGTTAAATGAAATGTGTTTCATTTTTGTTTTTCTCCAAGTATCTTCATATTACATCTTATTCAACTGTTGTATATCAGATCATGAAAACCGTCTACTAACTCAACATGAAAGCTTGTACTAATCAAATATATATATTTTTTTCAAAATGAAGCTTACGCTTAAGTAAGAAACAATTAAAGTGAACCATGACAGTCATTTTGGTTTATATGGATAAACCACTTCATTTTATTATTTTCTTCTCCTTTTTTTATATTTGCTTACAAATACATTGAAAATTATAAATGATTATTGAAGACAAATTATTTGTCTAAAACACATGTGTTGTTTTCTTGATTTTTCTCAACAACAATAACAACAAAAAATATTATTTCGAAATAAAAATGAATGTTGTGAAATGATTCATCCAGAAGATATCACCGTCTGAATATAATAAATGATAATCTTATGGATTTTATAATAATTTTAATAGTTGAGATCATGAATCAATTGTAGCTGATAGTCATCTTCTGATATTACTCAACATATGCTCATTAGTGACTGGCTTCATGAGGTATTTCCTGGAGTTCTAGTGAGAAGCCGAGTCTGTTGTGAGATAGTGAAAGACTGAAGACAATAGTAGATGTGTTGCTCAATTTCGTGGATTTGTTGAAGTTAGACATGAACACCGTTAGATGCCGACCGGCTCAGTGGTCTAGAGGTTAAGCGTCCGCACACTGGAATTATAGTCTCTGGGTTCGAATCTCTCGAGACGGGGTCGTGGATGCGCATTGCTGAGGAGTCTCACAGTAGGACGAAAAGGCCGTCTAGTTCTTCAAGGTTTTCCATGGTGTTCTAGCTTCTATTGACTCATGATCTCAAATATTAAAATTTAAATTTATTATCAGGGGAATATTTTTAATATACAAGTTATTAAAACAAGTAATGTAACAATTACATTTTTTATTATTTATCACTTAATTTAGTCTATGCAATTGTGAATCTATGCTTAATTTGAACCCTTTATGAA